AATCCTGCATTGCCTTAAGGACCCTGAACTACAGGAATTATGATGTATTCCTTATTATGGGTAGTGCAGGATTTATATCATCAACCGTAGTATAAGGGGCCCCGAAACCCTATTCTAACTGTTGAGGCCCCTATATTGCCCTATACCCTAAACCCTAAACCCCTAAACCCTAAACCCTAAACGCTTCCATGACCTGCCACGTTCAGATTGCCGGGCTCTTATCAAGTTTAGGGTTCCAGGATTTAGGGTTTAGGGTTTAGGGTGCTTTAGGGTTTAGGGTCAAGGGTCCAGGGTTCTAGGGTCTGATACAGATGCCTATATTATTTGTTAGGGTTCCTGATTACCAATATTGTTCCATAGGGTTCCTTATCATACATCACCCGGAGAAAATTTTCGACATACCGGAGGGTTGTCTCAAAATACCATGAACATGTAAAATGGGTGGCACTACTGCATATGTTGAGTTACAGGCAGTCTGGCGAACTTCCGTCCTGCGGTAGTAATTACGGTACAATACACCCCAAAACCCTATTCCAATCATTGGAAGGCCCCTACATTGCTGTCCCCAGAGACTCCGGCATGCCTTAATTACGGAATATACTTCAAATCATATCTGATTCGGATTCCTGTTATTTTTTAAGGGATATTCCTTAATTAAGAGGTTTGGAGTCTCGGGGTCACTCGAGTGCAGGTGTCGCCGGCAAAACGCGTGCTGCCGGGTTGGCGCGCCCTACTTACGAGCTGTCATCCAGGCTTTAGGCTTTAGGGGTTTAGGGGGTTTAGGGTTTAGGGTTTTTGGGTTTAGGCTTTAGGGTGTGAGGGTTTAGGGGGTTTAGGGTTTAAGGTTTTTGGGTTTAGGCTTTAGGGTGTGGGGGTTTGGGGGTTTAGGGTTTAGGGTTCGGCGTGCTGCAAAGATGGCAAGGCAAAAGCAAGTCTTGTTTCCGGGGACCGTGCCAGTCAGCCTCCAATAGTAAGGCGAGAGTGGAAGAAGCCGTACCTTGGCGTTTGCTTGGGCATGCAGGCAGGAGGAGGGCACATGGGAGTAATGAGAATAATAGCTATTATTGCTAGGATGGCAATAGTACATATAGTATCATCTTCACGTTGTTCAATCAACATATGTTTAATGGGAGTGGCAGGTGAAATCATGAAGTCCTGGAAGGTCGCGCTAATCAACTTCGCCAAAGAAGTCCTTGGCATCCCGGATGCCACCAGCGAAGAGTTCGACACCGCTGGAACGCATTGTGCTTAGATTCAGGGGTTCAGAGTTTCGTATTTAGGGTACATAATGCATAGGAACCTGATTTAAAAGAACCCCGGCCCTATAACCCTCCAAATAGTAGGATTCATGTAAAGAACCCTAAACCCTAAACCCCTCAACCCTCAACCCTAAACCCTAAACCCTAAACCCCTCAACCCTAAACCCTAAACCCTAATAAAGGCCCAGGGTTTCCTAACCAGGTTCCTCGAGTACCCCAACCCAAAGATGACCCTAAGCCCTAATCGAGGACCCTACACCCTAAACCCTAAACCCTAAACCCTAAACCCTAAACCCTAAACCTGTAGTCTCCATTGTAGTTCCTTTTAGGGGGATACCTAATATCAAGTCCTTAATATATAAGTGGTTACACCCAAAAAAAAGGAACTACAGTGGAGACCTAAACCCTATAAGCCCTATAGCCCCCGAAACCCTAAACATGCTCCCCGGAAGTGTTCTCTGGGAGAGTTGCGACAAGCGCGGAGGTCCAAGAATCACGTGGTGATCTTTATGCCTGAGATCTCCAAGGACCATCGCCGTTCGAAGTTGAGGGTTTAGTGCGTTTAGGGTTCAGGGTTGAAGGCTTAGGGTTCAGAATGTAGGGTTCAGGGTTGAGGGCTTAGGGTTCAGGATTTAGGGTTTGGGTTGAGGGTCTAGGGCTTTAGGGTTTTCGGGTTCAGGATTTAGGGTTTAGGGCTTTAGGGTTTTAGGGTCCAGGGTTGAGGGTTTACACCCTCGATCCTTTCACCATCAGCGTGGTCATCCTCATCCTCAGCGCTGTCATCGTCTGTCAGACTGAAAGTAACACTAGGAATCACGTCGTAAGCACAGGGGCATGGGTGATGAAAGTTTTTAAAGCAGAGAACATGGCAGTAAGAAGAAGAATCAACGAATAGCCAAAAACATAACCCCAAACCCTAAACCCCAAAAGCCTAAACCCTAAAGCCCTAAAGCCCTAAAGCCCTAAACCCCTAAAACCCAAAACCCCTTACACCCTAAACCCATCGAGGGGTATGGCATCTTGGGCCAAGACCCAAGCCCCTAAACCCCAAAACCGAGTCCCTCAGACCCGAAGCTACCTAAAGGAGACCATGGGTTTGAAAAGCCTAAGCCCTAAGAACCAAGACCCTAAGCCTTCAATGCCTACACTATATAGATCCGTTACGGGAAACCCTTAAAGGGAGCCCGAATATATAGAGCCCTTTCATAGAAGCCTTATAAAGGAACCCTCTTATAGAATCTTATTACAGAACCCGTACGGGTTCTTAGGGTTCCTTTAAAGGAACCTTTAAAGGGATCCCTAAGCCCTAAGCTACCCCGAAAACCCTAAACCCTAAACCCTAAACCCTAAACCTAAACCCGAAACCCGAAGGATACCATGGGTGCCAACATGCGACTGGGCGCCAGATGGGTGGAGTTCACGAAGCCCGAAGAGTCGTTGGCCTCCGCTCTCTACGGCATCTCGCCCCTATATTCCGCAAAATATAGTATAGAGCATAGTACAGTATAGTATGATACAGTGTAGTACGAAAAGTAGAATGGAGTATAAATGGTGTAGTATAGTATAGTACAGTTTAGTATAGTATACAATACATAGTATAGTATAGCATAGTATAGTATAGTATAGTATAGTACAGTATAGTATAGTATAGTATAGTATAGTTGCGAGTTTGGCAATTCGCCGTTGATTAAAACGGTATGTGGCTTGTGTAGATGCATACATAAATCTGTGCATATGGAAGTATACATAAGTAGGATTCATTGTTCTTGCATTTCTACCAGCATTTAATGTGACACTTTCAGACTACCCTTGATGAAAAGGTGGCGCGAATCGGGTCCACGAGCGACACAGACACCGCAGCTTGGCATGAAATCCTACACTCTACGACTCTAAGCCCCAAATCCTGAACCCCAAATTCCGTAAGACTCTAGGCAGAAAATCCTAAACTCTAAGGCTCTAATCGCCGAAAGAGCCATAAATCCTGAACCCTAAACACCTGAGAGTCGAACCCTAAAGCCCTAAATCCGAAAACCCTAGAACCCTAAACGGTTTAGGGTTGGGTTTAGGGTTTAGGGTTCAGGGTTCAGGGTTTAGGGTTTAGGGTTTAGGGTCTAGGTTTAGGGTTTAAACCCTATATAACCCGTAATTAAACCCTAAACCCCTAAACCCTTAAACTCTAAACCCGGAACCCTGAACTAACAGGGGCCTCAATAATTACGTATACCACCTTGGGGGTGTCCTTATTGTGATTATAGTATAATTATGGGCCCCGAAACCCTGTTCTAATTGTTAAGGCCCCTACATTAGTCCTGAACTACGGTTTAAGGGTTTAGTGTTTAGGGGTTTAGGGTCCCCCAAACCCTACACCCTAAACCCTAGACCCTAGACCCTAAACCCTAAACCCTAGACACTAAACCCTAGACCCTGAACCCTAAACCCTAGACCCTAAACCCTAAACGCTAAACCCTCGACCCTAAACCCTATAAACCCTTATCCCTAGACCCTAATCCCTAGACCCTAAACCCTAGACCCTAGACCCTAAACCCTTTGTAGGGGTCCTTAAAGGGATGAATAAGGGTTTCTAGAGGGGTTTCTTCTAGAAGAGTTCTAGAAGGGTAGTTCTCTGAATTTGGGTCCTTTTTTTATAAGGGTTCCGTACTATGTTGGGGACCCCCAAAAGGCCCTAAACCCGAAACCCCAAAGGAGATCTTAATTTAGACAACTCCCCAACTCCCTCCCCCAGGTTACGGGTTCAACGCGCCCTATAATACCCTGAACCGTAGACCCTAAACCCTAAACCCTGGACCAAATCCCTCCCCAGGTTACGAGTTCAACGTGGCTTTCAAGGAGAGGATGGAGAAGAAGGGCCTGATCTTCTCTGGCCAGGATGAGAGCAAGGACGGTTTGGGGCTTTAGGGTTTGGTGTTCAGGGTTTAGGGGTTTAGGGGTTTAGGGGTTTAGGGTTTACGGTTTAGGGCTTAGGGTTTTGGGGTTTAGGGTTTGGGGTTTTGGGTTTTGAGGTTTAGGGTTTAGGGCTTTGGGTTTGGGGTTTGGGGCTTAGGGTTTAGGGTTTAGGGCTGGGTTCCTTTTTAAGGGGTCTGTTAAGGGTGGTTTTTAAGATTCTATAATAAGGGCCTTTTGCGAGTTTCCGGAAGGTTCTAACGGGACCCTTTCAGGGTTTCTAGAAGGGGATCCTTTAATAGATCTCTTGCGGTTTAGGGATTTGGGGTTTGGAAGTTTTGGGGGTTTAGGGTTTGGGGGTTTAGGGGTTTGAGAGTTTGGAGGGATTGATGGGCATTCGTCATCTACCTTCCGACCTCTTTCAGGAGCGCATGGACATCATTGAAATGGCGACCAAGGACTGGAACGCCCACTCCAACTTGCGTCCATCTTGTGGGTAGTTCTCTAAATGAGGGTCCCAGCTTAAAGTCGTAGGTCCCCCGAATAATGTGGCACCCTTAGGAAAAGGGACCGAAAGGACGCCAAAAAGGGACCCTCATTTTGAGAACTACCCTTGTGGCATCATCTTCCTATCTCTGCCGTTTGTCAGGATCATCCTTTCTTCATGGGTGTGCAGTACCACCCAGAGTACAAGTCACGTCCTGGTCAGCCCAAGTCTTAGTTCATACGTTGAAAAAGCTTGCAATTCGGCAGAGCTCTGTTTCCTGGTGCCCTGAACTCCTGAACCCTGCAGTCTCGCAGCAGGAACACAAGACCCCTAAACCCCTAAACCC